GGGTTAGCAGTCAAGGAATAAATGTCGGCGTTGGGGTCGTGGACCGAGATTACACCGAAGAAGTATGCGTAGTGTTGATCAACTCCACCAATCAACCCTTTCAGGTACGCGCCGGCGATCGAATCGCACAAGTCATTTTGGAACGCATTGCGTCATGCGATATCGAGGAGGTGGCGAGTTTAACAGAGACTCACAAGGATCAGGGGGTTTTGGATCGACGGGTAAATAATCGTGAGGACACGATTCTAGACGGGGGGGGGGGTAATGTCACAAATATTACACATTCCGGATGGTTCTCCCGGATTCCATGGTATTCTTTCACTTTCTATACACCTCCGTATATTCGTAGGATACTCTAGACATTCAGTCAGGCATGTATATAAGGAGCTCGTACTGCTCAATAACAAGCCAGACTCGAGCTGGTCTTTCCTCACTTACATTCCTCTCGCCTGTCTCCTCAGCTTTGTCGTAGCACAGTCCAGTTGGATTGTTAGTTGCTGACACCTGGCAACAGTTTGGTCTTGAGCCGTGCGCGAAGATCCTATGTTGGAGCCAGGGCCCAGAGTCACGAATGCACTTGTGTGCAGTAGGCCGACACTCGCCCTATCCTATTTCGCGAAGCAAGATATACGCAGTACAGTAAACGAATTAAAAATGCAGGCGAGTCGCAGTGAGCATACGCCGAACTACAGCTCATCGTGCAGCAGTTGAGTTGGACGGGGCAGTGCCTCATGTGACGGTGTACGGTAGGCGTGGCGCGTCGTCGTGCTCTTAGTGTACAGCCCTATTCCTCCCGACCATCACTGCCACTCGCCGCAAGCTCGAAGCCCCCGCAAGTTTCTGGTAGCTTTGGCTATGTGCTGTGCTAAGGGGAGGCTACCCAGTCTACTGTGCCCCGACGGGATGACCGGCCTGACGGACACGCTGGTTATGTTGTCGACGCGTCCCGACGCTGCATCACGGCCTCAACAGCTGCCGCCAGCTGCGCAGCTTCAACAACGCGATGCTCTGCGTCGCTCACCTCGTTGAAAGCAGGCTAGTCAGCGTGCCGCGTTCCGACGGATTGGTCGATCTCACGTACGCGCAGAGCACGTCGACGACGCGTCCCGGACGTCGGGCTCGGCAGCAGCCGCCATCAGTCACCCAGCCTTGAGAACACGAATTTCTGTGTGGATCGGCGCGCTGAGGGCAGGCCCAAGACCACTGGTCATCGCGTACTAATTCTTCCTCTTCAGTTATGTTATCGAGTCTCGCCGCTGTCCTGCTGCAGCGCACTGCGGTCGTGTGGCGTGTTATGAAGACAGGAAGGACGATTACAGACGACCGGGTCCGATTCGTCCTACGGATGGGCAGTGGTAAGTTTCTACATTGTCTGTTCTCCAGTGTGGTCTTTCTTGCGGGGTTCTCCCTGACAACGCTACGTGGGCCATGAGCCAAGATTCACGTGAGAATTCACGGCAGCTTGGGAGGTCCTGGGCAGATCGTTGAGTAAGAGCTTTCTGATAAAGGACACTTGAACGGAGGATGCCTATTGTCGGTCTCTACTAATATACTATAACATTGTCATATGATCGGTGGTCTGAGCAATGACAATTGCGACCAGCACAGAATTATACGAACAGTTTCGCGAGAACTTCGTAGCTCGCAAGAGCGTATGCTCACGAACGCAGCTCATTACTTAGGCTTGGACCCTGTTGCAATAGGGCGCTTCGGACCGGCTGCTCGACCGCATCAGCATCTATCAGTGTCCGCTTTCGCCTCTTGCGCAAGCACGACGCGACACTCACAGCTTTTAACCGCAGAGGGAGGAGACACGGCCCCACGAGGCTGCATGCCGCTGCATAAGGAGGAAATCAGCGCCGGGAGCGGTTGCGAGATGGTAGGGAACGCACGCCTCGGTTAGCAATGTCTCGACGTCGATCTCCAGCTCGTCAGCAGTGCTGGAATGAGGCTGTCAGCTCCTCGCTGGTGCGATGGCGAAGTAATGAGAGCTCACTCGTCATGGATACTGCTATCTTCATCGACATCGACCACGCTTTCTGTCTGGCAGGCGACACCTGGGGTCGCAGGGGTCGTCCTAGGTATATTGTCAGAGTCGCAAAACAACGATACCATAGACAGAGGACGTACTCCTCGGCTACGCTATCGACAGCGGCAGCGACAGGAATTGCTTCAGCGGGGGTCTCCATGACTTGTGTGGTGGCAGACGCGACCGCGTCGCTGTCAACGCTAGGAGGTTTTGTCGTCTGCACTATCTTCTCGGCCGTTTCGACAGCATCGGTTGTGTGGGGAGCCATGTCTTGCTTGCGTTCTCCGTCAGAATATCAACAGCAGTGCTCTCCACTCGCGCTTCCCGGTGTTCTTATGCACAGCACACAAAGCGCGCGCTCCCGCGAAAACTTATGAACGCTCCTTCGCAAAAACGCGAGTCGGCCCAGATGTTCTGGATGGAACGTCTGCTGCAGATCATCCTCCGGCGCGCTTAGAGCGATAGTGGGGACTGGTGGGGAGAGTATACTGATCGGGCGGCTCCGTCGTTATCAGTGTGTACGGGCGCGGTACGTTTGGGTCAGAGGCGACGCCGTGTGCAGTGAGCGCGACCGGCACCAGATGTGGGAAGACGCGCGGGTCCAGAGAGAGATAGATGAGAGCACTACGTAGCGGGAGAAGGGTGACGAAGTGCGTATGTCTCGGAGTGGTACTTAAGTTGTGTTAGAGCAAGCGAAGAGAGTCCCCCAATGCCAGAACCTCTTGCTGTCGACTTGCTTGAACAGATGATCCTCGCTTGGCCGGTTAAGTCTGGCTACTCTGGCGTGCAACGGAGGGCCGAGAGCAAGCGAGAGCCTGTGTCCTGTTCCGGAAGCACGCGTTACGGCTTCTGGTTGCAGTCTCAGGGGTCTTGGCACCCTGTGACACAACCCATACTCACCGCTGATTGGCCGATTGGGATGGAGCGCGGACCCGCATCGGTCGACGCGCGCTCGCTCCTATGACCACCCATGCTTGATGTGGACAAGTAAATTGCTTGATTAAGAAATCACAGTTATGTGATGTACGACACATGGACTGTCAGATCAGTGGGCGACCAGCACCACTGTCGGGGTCCTGTCATACTCACACTGGCTTGAACTATGTCTTAGATACACCACAGACGAGCTATTGCACGAGGTACATGCCCAGCGGAGGGTTCCCTGGCGCCTCCACCTCCCACCTCGCTTGCGGTTCCGCTTGTCCTCGTCTTGCACGGTGTACCCGCGGCGATACAACTTGCGCAAGCCCTGCGGCTCGTCTGCTGGCACTCGTGCGCCGACTCTTGGGCTTGGCGGGCCGTGTGCGAGTTCTCAACGACGAGGTCATCCGCATCCAGCAGGTGTGCCACGCGCTCGCCCTCCCTGTGCGGCGACGACGTCGGCTTGGCCGGTGGAGGGGCGGGGACGGTTGTGCAGGCCGCTCGCAACCGACGACGGGCCTTACGAGCCTGCAGAGAACAGTGCCAAGCCTGAGCCCGAGCTGGGGTCGGGGGCCCTGCCCTGGCATCCGCGGCGACCGCACCGCGCGGGCGACTGGCTGTCGAGCTTCGTCCAGCGGGAGATGCGCGTCGCCCAGCACGTATGCCGGGTCTGCAGCTGCGAGGCAGTTTGCCTCCTTGTCAGTGAGAACTAGTGACATTTCCCCCTACGCCTTTCCGATTCCCCTTTGGAATTATTTCGTTGCAAAAACAAAAACAAAAACCTCACGTGACGCAATCGCCTTTTTTGTCACGGGTGTGACGCGGGATCTTTCGCCGACATTGCATTCATTTCAGTTACTTCGTTCGACAGAATCCTTCTCCGAGAACATTCTAGAATATTCTTGCAGTACACATGACCTAGACATCTACGGAGGACATCATTCCCGCAGAATTGCTCATTGCATAAAGCGGACACGGGTCCGCAGTAAAATGGCATGGTCTTGTTTGCGGTCCCCAACCGGCGACCTTTTACCGGTTGATGCGATCAAGCGCCACAAAGGGCGGAGGCGTTATCGGAATCTCTTACTGGACTTCTTTGTAACTCTCTTGCCGCGCATACTCCAATATTCTGTTTGCACTACTAGCGACTGTCCATGATTAGTCGCGACATCTTGACTCAAGAAATATGCCGCGGTATCTTGTACCATTCTCCGGAAGAAAATGACGTGGCTTGGCCTGATGGAGCGCGCGAACTGCGTGATCTCCTGCTCCAAACTCCGGCGATAGGTGGAGACGTATGTGTATATCCCTTTTCGGCGTGTCATCTGTGTTAATATGAGATTTAAGGGGTCATACCCCGAGGTGGACAAGCATCTACATTACTTGCTAGCGGAGCTGCCTCCCGGCACTATAAGCGGCCCTTTAAGCCAGGAAAACAGAGACGATATAGCACATGCCTTCCGCGCCGCACTTCGTGCATGCCACTTGATTCGCTATCAGTGCTCGCTGGGCTCAGACGATTTGCTTTCTCCAGATCTTACGACGTGCGTCGCCTATTTCATCATGTTGGCTTGCATCTACATGGACCACGAAGTCCTCTTAGAGTGCGTCATTATTCTAAAGCCTCAGGTACACATGCTGAGACAAGGATACAGGTGCGGCACATGGCTCGCCGTTCCCCGTATACCTGGAGTACATCCTGCTATGCATTACGTTTGGTCCGCACTACAGATACCGCTGGCTGCCGCGATCTACGTGGGTGACGAAGGTGCATTTGAAGTAGTACACCAACACAGCGTGGTCCCAGAGACAACGCTACTCGAGACTGCGGAGGCGATCTGTTCGACGTCCTCATCGGCATCAGACAACGACGCAGGTCCTCCTTCGTCGGCCCACGTATACCATCGCTGGCAGTCGTGGGCCAGAAGAAAAATCTGTAAAATCCCGATCTTGTGCATGGCCAGGGCGCCGGATCTCCCCGTCGCTATGTCAGCCGTCCTCCACCAACGCCAAACCTGGGGCCTGTCACATCCTGTGGTCGGCATCCAGTACAGCCCCCACTCGCCCGCCATCTCCTTCGTCATCGGCTGGTATCAAAAAGATCCAAAAGCTGCAGCGTTTGTGAGTCATATCCATTGGATGTGAAAATTTTCCCAATATCAGATGTGACATCTACCAGCCAGAGATTCATTTGTGCAAGCTAGCGACCTTCGATCTTTGTGATCCGGGTGATGCGTTTTCGGCATTTTGGGCACTTCTTCGACTAAGGAGTCTTGTGCGCCATCTCCGGCAGTGTGCGGCATCAAATCGGTCAATTCTGGAGAGCTATATACCACTCCGGGAACAATGGAGGACAGACACGTTTGGCTCCCTATATCCCTCCGGCGATCCCGATAGCAGAATTGCGTGTTGGCTTGAAACTGCCACCCCACCCACCATGTTACCCACCGACATCGAGTCCAGCACAACGTTGAAGACGATGGACATTGAAAAACAACTGGGACATCGAGCCCTGTATGTCCTTACTCAGTTTCTTGCAGGTGACATGCTAAAGCTGCATTTTCCGCTAGCGACAAACAGATTCATGATGCTTTAAGGTGCCAACAATCATCCGCGACGTCACGATACAAGGTGCTGACGCATATCTAGTAGCCCGCCCTCAAACGTGAGCAAGGAAATGAACCCTGAGGCCGGGATAGAGAAAACACAGCAGTCGTCGTGTGTAACCTCCTATAACTTATCACACCTTGTCTAACACTGTGCTTGAGGATGTCACAATCGAGCCGAAGCCAGCAATTGGCATCAAAATTCAAAGATCAAGCGGAGTCCAAGTCGAAGGATGACGGCCTGAGTTTCCTTGGCCGAAGGTCTCAGCTGTCGGTGTCTGCGTAAGTGTTGTGCTTCGTCGTACAGCTACGTTAGTATCAATGTCCGTAATTTTCCAGGTGCGCAAAGATGTCTCCCAAGCATAAAGACAACCGCCTCGTGATGCACTGGTTGTTTGACCGGTTTGCAATTACTGGGTCAGCTGCCTCGAACCACCATCATTGGGACATTTTCCGTCATTATACGCAAATTTACTTGCCAGAGGAGTGGCTGGCATACGTGAGTTTGATTCACCTGGTAGTGGCGTGCAGGACTCATCCGTGAGTAGGACGAGACGAGGTCACAATGGGCTCTGTCCAAAGATTGTGGCATCAATCTCGACGTACCTCTCATCAAAGATTTTGAGGATATATTTACTACTATTGCCACTTATCAGAAACAGAACCCTGATCTCGTAAAGAATCTCGACAAGAGAACCCAGCTACTGGGCGAGGTCGAGATCGAACCGTTTCTCCGCCTTATGCTTCCTCAGATCCTGGAGACATACGCCATGATACAAGCCATCAAATCGAGACAACTTCCCAGCGATCACATAAACGAAGCGACATGGCGAGTGCCCGTTGACGCACTGCTCTTGCACACGTTCATCCACAAGGACCCAGAATTCCAAACGGACATAGCTTTTCGCCTCGATGCGGCTAAAGGTCACGGTAACGAGCGGTAAGTTCTGCGTCACTTATTCATGTCTCTATTTCCTTGGGCGGTAACATCGGGACACCTTTTAGGCTAGAGTGCACCCTGAGGCTTCCGGAAAGCATGGCGCTGTCCCAGTACCTTTCTGACGTGGACAAGCTCTCAGTGTCGGAGTGGGGAGTGCGACTTGCGAAAGCGGCTGAAAAGCACACTCCCTTAGACGTTGTGACGGAGTTGACAGCAAGAATGGGCCCCATGTACCAGGATTCGACTGATACTTGGCTGCACGAGTTTACGTCCGCACAGGCGATGCTCTCTCGTGTTTTACAGTGGTACCGTGATCTCAAAGACTATCACATTCTCCACCGAGCTACTCTGATTAGGGAGAGAGCGATCTGTGATGCAATCGCATCTCTTCGCGTCCCTGTGTCCGGGATCTCGTCCGGTCTTCTTCAAGATTTCGCATTGATCAGTACGTCGTCAGGTCCCGCTCTGAAGCGGGCACCAGATGCCGACCGGACAGGTCAAGCACATTCGGACGCCGCCTCCGGAGAAGATGTACTCTTCGTGGAAACCCAAGCGACCCACTACTGTCCGGACATTATGCCCAGCCAAAACCCTACCAGGCTTGGACAGAAGGCAGACGACTCAGCCAACAAGGGCAAGGGGACTTTCGCCGAACCCGAGCCTATTACCGCCGACCTCCTCCAGCTTCCCGTGCTGGTTGCCGAATGGAAGAAGGAGGGGGGTGATGCAGAACAGGCGGCGAACCAGCACTACATCGACCTCGTGGCGAGCGTGAAATTCCTCCAGGTCTGCGGCATCACCGATTGCCCCGTGTTTGGCTTAAGGTCCGATGGACCGATCCTCCTCCTCGATTACGCATACGCGACGCCGCCTAGTGGTGACGGTACGGATTCTGTCATCACCGTCTGCGATCGCAACGCCTTCCAGTACAACCTGGGGAGTCCTATGGGCGTCTGGCGGTTTGCCACAGCCATGGTCTCGATTAATCGGTGCCACATGCCGCGGCTTTTGCACAAGTGGGAAGAGGCGCAGAAGACGTACAGAACAGCGCCGACCGTTGACACCCCGCCGGACCACCCCAGTCGCCTGCATGGGCATGGGCTCGTCTCGAAGCGCGGCCCCAACAGCAACGAGCTGCGCAAACTGCCACGGTGGAGGACCACGTCCGATCAGAAGGCCGTGATCCAGGATAAGGTGAAGAGCTTGAAGGAGAAGTACGAGCGCGAGCCAACCGCGAATACGCCTGAGGCGTTAAAGGTTCTGGCTGACATAGAGCGACTCTTAAATAAGGAGAAGGACGAGAAAGATGGGACGGACGGGCAGCAGACAGACACGGGCGATGGGAAGTTGGACGCTCCCACCAATGCCAATCAGGCCTCAAGCTCAAGGCCTTTGGCCCGGGGTGTTAAACGGGGGCCCCCTTCTGAGTCGGAATAGAGATAACGCATTCTTTTAGACACATATTTGTTGCAATGTTCTTGGAGCTGCGCAAGTGAATAGCAATTACCGGCCGAAGGCATCTCGCTGACGCTGAGTCTTGAAGGGTACGCACGCGCATCAACGCGTGGGCGCCAGAATGTCCACGGACCTGCCTCCTCGGAGGACTTTTCCTCTCGAACGCTCACCGCGCACGTTCTCCCCTCCCCCTCCGTATCTTACGTCCCAGTACAGCCCAAGTGTACCCTTACGTACTATGATGAATCTAGCGACGCCTGTCTATCTCTCCCAGCGCTCCTGGATGTCTGCGAAGCGTATATAGCACCCCAGCAAGCTCTTCGGTACATCTCTGGCATCCCTTGAACACTGCTCGTAACACACAACGATGGAGGGCGTTATGGAGGTTGCAGGAAATAACGATGGGCATCCTCCATTATATTCCTTTCGTCGTTCTTCTGGGTTGTTCGTAAGTGCAGCAATAACTTGAGAGCATTTGCTGATCCTCGCTGACGGCCAGTTTGGCTGTTGTCGTGGGTAAAGCTACTCGTTCCACTATACTCTATCCCTAGGTTCATATATGCGGTGCTTTCCTATTCCATGACACTAACCGTAAGTCCAAATAGTCCCATCCCATACTCATTGACAGAAAGCTGTATTCTCGCTCAGCTTAACTTCTGGTCGTTCGCCATCATGTTCGACCTCTCTTTAGTGGCGCTGAACCACTGGATATGATCCCGATACCTGAACATATATACGAAGCTGAAGAAATCACCACTCGCCAAGACCGATGCACAGGAGTTGCGTCCTGGTGTCAACATTTCAGAGTCGGCACCCGCATTCCACAATTACCTTGACGAGTTCCTGCAAGCCGTTCGAGTGTTCAGGTTTTTGGAGAAGCCAGTATGGTTTCCACTGTTGTCACATCTAGTCCTCCAGACTGACGTTCGGAGAAGGTGTTCCACGAGCTGGCCAGGCACCTCCAGACGCGTCGACTCATCGCTGGTGACAGCATCTCGCTAGACCAAGACAAGAGTTTCTATTGTGTAGTCGATGGCACTGTGCAATTTTTTCGCGCGCACGACGGGAAATACGTCGATGAACAGTGTAGCGGATCTTGGGACGATGAAGACATGAATGGCTACCAGCTCTCGAACGAAATTGGCACCGACCGACGGCACACTCTTGAGTATATTTGCAATCCTGAGCCTCTTTACCGAGAACGTCAAGATCCGTTGGCAAGGTGGCGAGGCCCTCGAGGAGCCGCATGCGGACACTGACGCAGATTCGGTCGTGAGCGGCGAGAGGAGTTCTATGCGCCCTCCTGTACGCATAAGACCACACCGTTCTGACTCGGACGTCTCGACGATGCACCTGGACTACGTGGCGAAACAGCACCACGCTTCACCCGATGCCATGTCGCCGTGGGCTCGTGGGCTCGGGGCTTCAGTCTCATCTTCTGGGTCGACTGTCCACCCTGTGGGTGTGTCTGTTGGATTTTGGGCTCGTGCGCTCGCACGCACATGTCTCGGGATGACTCAGATTCCTATTGGACAGTATTTTATTAGATAGCGCGTTCGTTATTTCGTTCCTGACTCACCAGTTGCTAAGGCACCTGCCGCTTTCCTTATTTACTCGCTTTTCCCTGTCGTGCACGCTCAGAGACTTCCCTTCTTCTGAGCGTGCGTATATCCTCTCATTATGGACACTGTAGGGTACTGACTGTATTGCAGTACGGACTGAGCGTCCGTTCTGCTAGGTAAATACATCTCAGAGACTTCCCTTCTTCTGAGCTACGGACTGAGCGTCCGTTCTGCTAGCCTCAAGCGCGCCCAACAGTCGAAGCCGGGCCCTGCGTGTGAGAAACTCACTGCGAAGAGTTTCTAGAGTGTCCTCTCCGCATTTTCCGTCGCGATGTCAGCCCGTGTCTCAAGGGCTGTCGGTCTCTGGCCTGTCTTCTACATCGAATCGGACTACATCTGCAGCACAAGTTAGGTGGAGGCCTATCCCTAGAAATCCTAAATCACAGTTCCTATGAGTGATCGCAAAGCTACGGAGGACAGTACTCTTGCTGTATTTCCGTCGGAGGCGTTCAGGAGACTCACGAAGAGTTCCC